TCCTTCCCTTTCCTTCCTTCCCTTTCCTTCCTTCCCTTTCCTTCCTTTCTTTCCTTTCTTTCCTTTCTTCCTGTCTTCCTGTCTTCCTTTCTTCCTTCCTTTCTTCCTTTCTTCCTTTCTTCCTTTCTTCTTTTCTTCCTTCCTTCCTTCCCTTTCCTCCCTTTCTTTCTTTCTTTCCTTCCTTCCCTCCCTCCCTCCCTCCCTTTTCGTTCGTTCGTTCGTTCGTTCCTTCCTTCCTTCCTTCCTGCCTTCCTTCCTTCCTTCCTTCTCTTTCTGGTTTTGTTGTTTCTTGACCCCTATTTATTTGGTTTGTGACCCCTATGTGTCCTTTTTTGACCTCTGTCCCAAACTGCTGCCCCATTATCCCGGCCACAGTCAGTGTCTACACAAAGTCAGAAGTTACATCATTAATGTTGCATTCACAGGTAATGCACCGTGTTGGTCTCACCCCTCCTGCTGAAGCCACAGCCAGTGTCTACACCAAGCAGCACACATCAATGCCACCACAAAGAACGTCGCTATGTAGACTCCAACCCCCCACCAACCTTGCCTACCCGACGAGGGCTTTGGGGTTGCTGTTTTATTTTAGTTGATACCACGGGGGCTTAGTTGCTGACTCGTAGTTGCTGACGCGTGGTTGTTGAATCAGTAGCAGCGACTGCAGCAACAAAAGTAGTGTAAAACAATATACAACAAAATATAACAAACCAAGAAATACCAAAAACAAAAAGAGCAGCAATAAACAGCAAAACGCAAAAGGTTCGCAATGGCTTGACGAGGGTGCTATGTAGAAGAGGAACAGAAAGACCCAGATTGTGTTGATGAATTTCAAAGGGCCCAAAACATCTTGCCAATTCACACCACCAGTGATGCTCATAAAAAGGCCTTGGTCAAAGCCGGAAACGAGCAAACCTCAATGCGCAGCATACCCCCAGTCTCAGGAAAGTCCCGGTTCTTTCACTCATCTTGGCTATTCCTGGTTTACAACCAAGTTCGACACAGAAAGTAGCACGTCAACCTATGATTGCATATAATATTGACCTTATTCCGCAAGCTGTCAAAACTCTGTCAGCTCTTGATTGAAGCGTTCCGCCCAGCCTGATAATGCTAGCTTCATACCTCTTAGAAGGAACCCATTCTGGTAGCAGGAACAACTTGCGAAACTCCAAGCTAGCTAGATCGTTGGAAACCTTGCTGGCCGTTTCCCAAGTGTCCAACCAGATTCAGCTTAAATGAAGACTGTGGAGCAGTTTGAAGCGGGATCATTTCATGTGCTCAGGCATCAAGAGCACTAGCATCTCTTGTAGCAACAAACACCTGACCTCGACTGGAGACTTAATACTTCATACTCCTCAGCACTCGAGAACACTCACATGATTGTCCAATCCATCCGACATCATCAGCCATTTGACAGCCTGTGTGGGGGGGGTCGATATCAATGAAATGAAGTGCACTTGCGATGTCTTTTGGTATAGCTAGATGTTCACCAACTGAATATCAGGATACCATTATGAGTTGCATCCCAATTAATGTCTATACTATACGGTATACGGGTTCATTGTTCTCAGCCAAGCTGCCCAGCATGGTGTCACCAATGGTGCCAAAGTGGACCTGTGCTTCTAGTAGCTCTCGATCCGGTAAATAGCCGCCATCCTGCATATTGGCAGGATGTTCATGACAGTAAGACACTCAGTTGCTGGGTTCTGAACATTTATTAACCAACAAGCATCGTGAGAATGAACATCATGTTTCCTCCAATTTCATTTAGTGGACACCTGTCAGCAGTTTGCTTTCAGGGGCGCTCTCAAAATGCTGGCGTGGAGGGTAGGGCCAATGGAGGGTAGGGCCAATGGAGCTACAAACGAACAAAACAGCAATCCGCAGGTAGAGTCTCTCGTCTCCAGCACTCTAGCCTGAATGTAGTCGTTCACAGCTTGCCTCACGTAGTGAATATTTCTTCCAAAATCAAACATGGCAGTGGGAAGACCAACCCTCAACAACCTCATTGACAACCTTAAACTGAACTGTCGATAGTTCACATTTGCAGCTCAGCCACATGAACAGGACGGCAAACACATAAGCTATCAGGGCCAATAGGAGCAGCGCCCAGACCAGAGATTTCAGGGTGTGGACGATGGAGGCTATCAGAGTCCTGCACCGCGACAGGTTGCTCCATCGTCGCAGCGTGTCATTGCTGTGGATTCTGCCAATGTTTCTCAGCATTACATCAAGGTCTTGAGGGGTTTGATACCACGACAAAATTTCAAAGAGCTCTCAAAATGTAAGAAGCACCTACCCTCACCAAGGGCCGACATACAGTACAATAAGACATGAAAACTTGATTGGAATGTTGCTGCATACCGCTTGTAAAAACTCCTGAGTGCTAGGATGAAGCGGAAGATGCGTACCAAACGAGACACCTCCACAAGGGCATCAAATGAAGTTCTAACTTATCAGCTCACAATCTCAAGCGGTTGGACCAGCAAAACAATGATTAAAATAATAAGCGTGCCCTGCCTTCACTATCCGAGTGATGCGAACTACACGGACCGCCTTGAGACTTGTGAAAGCTCCAAAGATACTTTCGTTGCCCTCCCCCTTGAAGCTTGACAGCACCTACATGTTGAACAATTTCAGAGGCGCGAAATGTCACAAACACGCAAGGAACAAGCAAAACAATGTTTTTTACGGAAGATTTGGGGCCACAAGGAGTCCGCCTCAATTACCACCTCCCACAAACTAGTGACCACGATGAAGATATCCAGCCATGCCCAGGCCCAATCCTCTCCAAAAAGGAACTTGCAGCGATCGGCTGCAAGCCGAAACCAGAGCTCCAGCACAAAAAGCGCTGTGTAGAGGTACAGCATCAATTGAATGAACAACGGTGTTTCTCCCCCTTGCGTATCCACGCTGACTTGCAGTTCGACGCCGATAAACAGGGAGTTGGATATGACGACCAGCGTGAAAAAGCAGTCAAAGGCGGGATGATTTACAATTTTCTGTGCCCAGCGCCGTTGTGTAGTTCCAGCCATCTCTGTCGTATGGATCCTCAAAACGACAGCAGGAGCAGCTCACGGAGCGGTTTCTCAATGTATATAGTGTTTTCAAACCACTGCAGCAGAATGCCGCGGGCACATTGCATATTATATATGAGATCACAAAAACAGAAAGATAGGATAGGAGATAGGAGATAGGATGGGATAGGAGATGGGATGGGATAGGAGATAGGAGACAGGGGTAGGGGATTAGGATTAGGATGGGGATGAGGACGAGGACGAGGACGAGGACGAGGACAGGACAGGACAGGAGAGGAGAGGAGAGGAGAGGACAAGATAGATAAGATAGATAGAGGTATATAGCTACAGAGATATAGAGATAGAGATGCAGAGGTGTAGATGCAAGGTAGATAATCAGATAAAGATAGATAGATGGATCGATGGGTCCATCGATCGATAGACAGATAGATAGGAAGATGGATAGATAGATGGGCAGATAGATACATGGATAAACAGCTCAGAGGTATGTAGTTAGATAGGTAAGTAGATAGGGTGAGGGACCAACATGTTCGACGGGCATAAAAAAGAAAAAAGCAAGCAATCAAAAGAAACCGCGAGCAATGGAAGGAAAAGGAGACTAGTGAAAGGACAACAGCAGCAGGGTGCGCGACCAGAGGACCATGGAAGGATGATTGCAAGAAATAATCAAAAACTTAGGCGAAGGTGCGCAATATTGCGTGTGGATATGCGATGGGCGGCCTTTGAAAAGTCGACTGTGGCCGGCCCAGCGCGTTGGCCAAAGTAGGGCAGATTTTGCAGCACCAAAGCGGTGTTGCAAACTCAAAAGCCACCAGGCGCTGAAGGCACCACAAGAGACATCACCATCGAAGACTACACACCCTATTGCCCAATCAATGTGGGGCCCGTCCAGCACAGGCCGCCTGCGGCGCAAAATCAAAAAGACTGAGGCGAGCGCGCGCGGTACCGCGCAATATTTTGTGCGAGCGATGGGCGCTGGGCGACCTTTAGAAAATCTGTCGCGGTAGGCCCGCCGGCTCATTGGCAAAAGTAACGCAGATTTCGTGGCGCTGGAGGGGGGTTGGGGGAGGGCGCTGCGCCTCCCAGAGCGAACCAAAAGGCGCCACAAAAGAAAACTACACACCCCATTGCCTCGTCAATGAAGGGCACTTAGAAAACGACGCAAGGACCAAAGCAACCGGGTAGCACTTTGCTTTCGCAAGCCTCGCGCAGCGGACCAGGAAAGGGACCCGGCGGCGAAAGGACTAGGGCACCAAAGGACAAGGAGACCAAGGGACCAGGGGATGAAACAAAGCCAAAGGATCAGGGGACCAAAAAGAACCAGAAGACCAATGGACTAGGGCACTAAAGGAGCAGGGGCGTGGCATGAACCTTTGGCAGCCTGCCAAGCGCCCAGCGCAAGCGCCCGCTGACCTACGACCCATTGCTCTAACGTGTGTCATCCGAATCGGGAGGGCCATCCTTTGAACCAAGCCAAGCGCTTCATGATTCCCACCTGGTGCAGGTTGCCCATCCTGGCATACCTCCCCTTTCGAGGCGTACAGGAGGCTCTCTACATTGCGCTTGACGTACGAGACACTTGCTCGCAAGCCGCGGAGATTGAGATGACCTTTTGTTGAGGTGGACAATTTGAAAGTGACTTTGACATCCAAGATGCACTTCGTTATTGGTCACTTGATGGATCTACTAGTCAGTCTCGGCATTGGAAATCTCAACCGAGAAAACAGTTGTTCTGCTCAGACTAAAAAGGGTTGGCTACCCCTGGAGCTGAACAAATCCAGTACCTCAAGATCGCGCCGTACCACACCATATGGCATCCTTCCAGCATGACGGGATGGTTGACGAGTTGACCCACAACGCATGAAGAAGTGGAGTAACCCAAGTTGCTATGGGAATTGAAAGGCCCTCAAAAAGGCTGAAGGCAGTGTGTTGGGAGCCATGAGCCACAGCCTTGAGCATTGGCGCAGTGAAGCTGTCGAGCTACTTCATTAACCTCGTGGAACAATGACGCCGACTTGGTGAAGTGTCTGAAGAGGTGGCCGTGAAGATCTGTTCGAAGAGACCAAGGTTTCCATTTCTGCCACTGGATGTTGGATCTCACCTGTGCGTGTTCTGAATCTGATCAGTCGGCTAGGTTGTTTGGGTGAAAGAATCCGGAATCCGGATGGCTTCAACAAGACCCCTGGAGGCCCTGGAGTCATGTCGAAGAGCAGCTGCAGAGGAGTTTCTCCTTCTTCTTGATCTGGGAGCAGCGACAAAGTTCACAGTTGAGTTTGGAGTGCTGGGCGATGTGGAGCCAGGCCTTGCGGAGGTGTCCAGGTCGAGTCCCAGGGGTGTTCTTTGCAAAGAAGAGATGCCTCCATTTCCTGGCAACTAACGATCTAGAAAGCGGCATAGCCCACAAGGGGTGCATTTTGACGTTGTCTGAGAGAATTTGGCAGGCCAGTTCCTCAAAGGCCGTCCAGGAATCCGTGCGCTGTTGCTACACCACAGTGGATAGTGATCCGGTGCAATCGTCCATAAAGTAACGGAAACCACTGAACACGAAAGGCCTGCTTGATCAACTTGAGGCCGCCGCATCAGTGTAGGAAGCTCCAGATGGCCCTTCGAAGGACGGAGTCTTGTCAAAGAGCCTCAACGAGCACAATGACCATCTGAAGGGAGTTCTCTGAAGAGTTTTGTCAAAGTCCTGCCGAAACATCGTCCTGAATTTGGATGGATCTGTGCGTTCTCAAGTCACATTGGACTGGAGGTGTATTGGCGGCAGTTTATCGCATCAATGTTCTCACCATCCAAGCGACATCTCGCGCGCAAGATCCGTCCTGGTCTTGGGGAGGAGAAGCTGATGTTTTCGACCTGCAGAAGATCCTGTTCACCAATGTCAACAGTCCAGCTTTCTGACCTGGAGTGTCTGCTGAAGGGATGGCTGCAAAGCCGGGTTAAGTCCCAGGAAGTCCCTTGGAGGAGAACAAGGTCAAACTGTTGAAAAGTAGGCCCAGTTGAGAAGCTCTAAGTGCGCAGCACCAATCAGTGATTGACAGTTCCAGTAAACAAGGTAGCCCGTTTTCCCTACCTCTTCTTGGGCTTGTGGGCGTTCGTCAAGTCCTGCTTGGGTGATTTTTCAATGCCTTCTTCCTCTGCACACGACGATCGAACCCGTTGATGGCAAGCCGTCTGAACTCTATTGAACCCCGGAGTTGGGACCGGTGAGTATCCAAGGACTGTCCTCTTCAAGGCTTTTCCAAGCAGGTGGCGCCAAAACCAGGAGCCACACCACAACCATGGCGAGCAGCTGCGTAACCCCACCATTGGAGCCGGGACTCAAAGCAAACTGAAGCCGTGTGCGCATGGTGGAAAAAGGTGCTTGAACACTCAAAGGCTTCGAGAAGACCAGCGCGCTAGGAGACCACGGGCGTAGGGGGCCACTGGACCAGGAGACTGGGGCGGACCAGGGGACCAGCGGACCAGGACACCAAACAGCCTATAGGGGACCACTAGGCTCGAAGACTGATCTTTTTGTTTTTATCCGTGTCCCTTTTTTTGCTCCTGCTAATTTTGTTTAATCCTTTACATGTTTTTGATCCAGATGCCGGTAGATAGATAGTTACATGAATCGACGGGCAAATAAATATAGAGATAGAGATAGGTTGGATTTAGCTCAATTTAGATTAGATTAGATAAGATAATCTAAATCAAATATGTAGATGAAAGACAGATAAACAAACTATATCTACATATAGGTATTCATTTATATGATCTATAATATATACGCATGGACATCTCAATTATATATATCTATATAATTACGTACATGTTTATATTCATATACATGTATGTCCAACAAACTGGACGTCGATTGAATGACCTGTAGAACCGGAAAACACAAGCCGTACGGAATAAGACCACTGCAAGCAACGGCCAAGGAACCCAAGTGGGCAAATACCAACGCACATGTTCTGTTCCGGTGCATATACAATGTCTATTGATGCATGAACCCTCCCCCATCACACCACTCACACCACAGAAAAGGGTTGCATACGTAAGCAAAAGCCCACAGAGTTTTTGCGTATGGTTTGCCGAACTCTGAACATCTTAGCTTGGCCCTAGACACCAACCAATTAAATAGCGGGCGGGCAAAACCAGCTCAGACTAGGCCTAGGCCGCAGGCCGCAACCAAGCAAAACACCTGGACGCTGTACGCACAACCGGACAAGACACAAAAAAGGGAAGCGACACCCCTAGCCAACTTGCACAAGACATTGGACAAAGCCAGACGCCACAGAATAAGCTATATGCGTGTGGACTTTGCGTACGTGCGCGCGCATAATTTTATAGATGTATGTGCGTGTAATACTTTGTGTGGCTTTTGTCTCCTTTTGCAATAGACATATATACATCACACACGCGCACATATTCTGCACATCTTAACCCCGGTCTTGTCTGTGTGTGTGCCCCACTCCGTTTCCAGGAGTACTTTTTGAAACCGTTGAGCAGGAGCGTACGGTTCGTCATACCTACCGTACGCAACGCAGCTACGGTATGACGAGGGAAGGGTGGACTGATCATCCACCTGTACCTGCCCGAACCTTAGTAGAGCGCAAGCCGTTGCACTCCGGTGTTTTCTGCATTACAGTAAAGGTCTAACGCATCGGCAAACAACTTTAACATTTTTGATGCTCATTCTTTTGAGCTATGAGTCTAAGTAGAGCACAAGCTGTTCCCGTGCAGTGTTTCGTGCGTTGAAGTAAAGGTCTAACGCATGTCTGAAGACCACTGAGAACAACGTTCCATCATTGGAACTATGAATCGAAGCGTGACCTGCTGCATCTTCCCACCTGGGTGTGCAGCGCGATCCCCGCAAGGGGCGCTGAAGACAGTCCGGACTTTTTCTTTCTGAAAACGCGCATATGCAACGGCCATTTACTGAAACTCGGAACCTTTCAGGAACGCCTGAAACTTTACCGACGAGTTCACGTGGACTTACAACTGAAGCACAAGTGCATTGCCACCCCTCTCGTCATGTACTTTCCCGATTTTCCACGCAGAACACAACCAAGCCCCGCCCCTCCTTTTCTCTCTTGCGTTGTTCTTCGTTTGTTAGGTGTGTCTTCAGGCTTGTTAGGTTGCTCTTGAGGCTCGTTTAGTCGACCCTACCCCTCAGTTTTCGCTTCTTCCTCTCCTGTCTTTCGTTTCTCTTTCTAGGTCTGACCTCTTTAGTCAAGCAGCGTGAGAGAGTGAGAGTGAGTGACTAGAACCTAAGTAATGCTTAAGCTGTCCACTACGTTGTTTGTTCCACTAATTGCCGGCGGATTTTGAGCACGAGTGCGCCGCTTTGCGGGCCGCTGTGTGTGCCCCACTCCGTTTCCAGAATTACTTTTTGAAAACGTTTAGCAGGGGCGTACGGCTCGTCGTACCTACCGTGCGCAACGCAGCTACGGTATGGCGAGGGAAGTGTGGACTGATCATCCACCTGTACCTGCACGAACCTGGGTAGCGCGCAGGCTGTTCCACTCCGGTGGTTCCTGCGTTGCAATACAGGTCTAGCGCATCGGCGAATTACTTTCGGCGCTTAATGCTCATTCATTTGAGCTATGAGTCTAAGTGTGTGAACCTAAGTAATAGTAAAGCACAAGCTGTTCCACTTCGGTGCTTTCTTGCATTGCAGTAAAGGTCTAATACATCGGCCAACAACTTTCTGCACTTGATGCTCCTTCTTTTGAGCTATGAGTGTAAGTAGAGCACAAGCTGTTCCACTCCGGCGTTTTCTGCATTACAGTAAAGGTCTAACGCATCGGCAAACCACTTTCTGAATTTGATGCTCATTCTTTTGAGCTATGAGTCTAAGTAGAGCACAAGCTGTTCCAGTCCAGTGTTTCCTGCATTGAAGTAAAGGTCTAACTGTCTAACGCATTTCTGAAGACCGCTGAGAACAACGTTCCTTCATTCTATGAATCAAAGTGTGACCTGCTGCATCTTCCCACTTGTGTGTGCAGTGTGATCCCCGCAAGGGGCGCTGAAGACAGTCCGGACTTTCTCTTTCTGAAAACGCGCATATGCAACGGCCATATACTGAAACTCGGAACCTTTCAGGAACGCCTGAAACTTTACCGACGAGTTCACGTGGACTTACAACTGAAGCACAAGTGCATTGCCGCCCCTCTCGTCATGTACTTTCCCGATTTTCCATGCAGAACACAACCAAAGCCCCGCCCCTCCTTTTCTCTCTTGCGTTTTTCTTCGTTTGGTAGGTGCTTCTTCACACTTGTTGGATTGCTCTTGAGGCTCGTTTAGTCGACCCTACCCCTCAGCTTTCGCTTCTTTCTCTCCTGCCTTTCGTTTCTCTTTCTAGGTCTGACTCTCTTCTAGGGGCTTTTTAACTCGTAATCGGTCATTTTAAGTCAAGCGGGGCGTGAGAGAGTGAGAGTGAGTGACCAGAACCCAAGCAATGCTTAAGCAGCTCCTCCTTGGGAGGGGGCGTTAGTTACGAAAGCCAGCCTTCGTAGAAGGCGAACGAAGTGAACAGGTTAGGGGGTTTGGGGGGGTGGGCCCGCAAAAGGTACACGTAAACTCGGCACATGCTGGGGGAGGAGGGTGCACGGATGGAAAGCTTTGGAGGTTGTTTGGAGGTGATGTTTTTGTGATTTTGGAGCGGGTGGTGATGCAAGAAATGCATTGTTTGGCCGTCCACTACGTTGTTTGTTCCACTAATTGCCGGCGGATTTTGAGCACGAGTGCGCCGCTTTGCGGCCCGCTGTGTGTGCCCACTCCGTTTCCAGGAGTACTTGAAAACGTTTAGCAGGGGCGTACGGCTCGTCGTACCTACCGTGCGCAACGCAGCTACGGTATGGCGAGGGAAGTGTGGACTGATCATCCACCTGCACCTGCACGAACCTAGGTAGAGCACAAGCTGTTCCACTCCGGTGTTTTCCTGCATTGAAGTAAAGGTCTAACGCATTTCTGAAGACCCCTGAGAACAACGTTCCTTCATTGGAACTATGAATCGAAGTGCAATACTATGTATGGCTTTTGTGTCCTTTTGTGGCAAAGACATATATACATCACACATGCGCGCATATTCTGCACATCTTAACCCCGGTCTTGTCTGCCGCTTTCGCATTGTTCCGGAGCTTGACGTCTGTCTGCGAGAACGTCTTGAAGAGCTGAGGAGTGAATGAATCTCTCTTGGGCTTGCGGGGCACCTCAGCTCACTAGGACGCTTTCGCAGCCGCAATGCTACTGCTGAGCCGGCTGCGCCGCTTGTTCTGCTACTTACCCAGCTTTCACAGCCAAGAAACAGCCATGTTCCTTTTGCTGGTCTGCGCCTTTGCAATAATGGGCTTGTTTTTGTTCTCAAATCGAAGAGTGCGCGGCATGGGCAAGATTCCAGAGTCGGAATGCTGCTGACCCACCAAGTCCGAATCGCTGTGTAAAACAAGCCCATCGTCCGAGTCTTCAGTGCAAGTCCGCAGAGGGGCACGTCGAGGCTGGTGCGGTGAAGGCAACCCACCCTTGGCGAGCCGGGCAAGGACCTGATAGAGCATCTCCCCATGGTTTTGCAAGGTATGCATGACCTGTCACAAACCCTTTTTGGCCGCCAGCCACGCACAAAACAGGAAAAGCAAAATGGAGCCATCACAGGCAAGAAATGACAAACCTTATTCTCGCCCATCCCATGCCATCCCATGCCATCCCTGGAAAAGGAGAATTCTGAGGTCTCACTAGTCATGGGGCTCCTTCCTAAGGATGAGAGCCTCTGCATGCTGCTCCTCAAGCAGCTGTGGCATCATCTCCTCACCGCCTTTCCATAGAAATCCGGGCTCGACGTTAAAGCTCTTTCGCGGGGACCTAACTGTCAATCAACCAAAAGGTGCAGCCACAACTTGTCTGACCGTTCTCGAGTCTTTCTCGAGTCTGATGATTGAGTGCTTGGAGTCTGAGAGCTTGGCTCAACCTCCTTGTCAGATTTTGGTGTGCCAAAGCCACTGGCCATGGTTCCCTCAAACCCTCCAATGACTTGCCTTTGGTTCTCATTGCTGTTCTCAATATCTTGCACAACACCATCTTGGTGGTCACTTGTGGTGGATCTATGGCTCGACAGTCACGACATTCTCGGGATGCAATCTTGTTTCTTGAGCTTTGGCTTGGCATGTGGACATTCCACCAGTGAAGGCTTGATGAAAACAAAGGTTCAGCAGCGTGTGAGCATCATGTTTTTCAGATTCAGGATTCCCAGAAAGACATCTGGACAGATCGTTCGAGTTATTTAAAGGGAAGAGAGCCCATGATTGCTCTAAAACACCATCCGCAATGAAGAACATGGAGAAAGACCTAGCCTTCCACAATATATATATATAACTATATATATATACATACACAGAATCTTGACGTGGCAAACCTTGGCTCAAACATTCCGAAGCGAAGATGACACCTTTCCTGGCCCTGCAACTCTTGTTTTCTTGGTGAGGTGTGCTTTGACAATATGGGTTGTAGCTTGCGGCATGTCCGGCACGGCTGTCCGCCTCCAGGTCCTTCTGGATCAGAAAGGCAAGCGTGCGGAAAGATGCAGTCCGGTGCTCGTATGGCACAGGACCAGCAGAGTGTGCCCGTATGCCTTGTGTTGGCATGGACAGTGCCTCTGCACATTCTAGTCGCTAGTCTAAGTATATATAGTAAATTTGAAGTAAATCCGAAAATAGCGTAAAACAACGCTCTCCAGTGCTTGGAGGTCATCCAACGACACAGAGCCCTGCCAAGTCTGACAAGCTCTGGCCAAAGCCCATTCCAAAGCGGGTCTCTGCTCGCGTTCCCCAAAGCAAGCCCGAATGTTTCAAGCCTCGCTAGCCTAAGTGAGACTTTTCTCACTGCACTTCTCAGTTGACATGGCTCACCCGAGTTGGCCGTTTCAGCCTGCGATGCCTGCAAACAAGCATGTAGCGGGTGCAGGAGCAACATAGACAACTGTCACCTCCACGACTGCAAGCGTCAAACATGCATCCAGTCCAATGAACGCCTCTCAATCACTGGTCTGCATCTGTCTTCTGGTGTGCCTCCACGCGCTGAGCAGCTGCAAGTGAGCGGCCACCAACAACCCCAGCAGCTTCTCATAGAACATAAACCTTTTCACAACACGACACCCCAAATGAAGAACCAGCACATCGAGACATCGGATTCAGTTGAATCAGGCTTCAATGGCTTGATATTGAAACAGGTAGTGATTCAGGTGTTACATAGTCCGGGCGGCATCAATGCAGAGTTCAGCACCGTCCTTGGTGAAAGCTGATCTCTCCGCATCTCTCCCCAAGTTTATTAAACAAAGGCAACATGAATCTGCCGTCCACTAGACACGTAAATGTGATGCGCATAGCCAGGCCACTGTAGGAGCTTTGCTTCAATTCCAGCATAGAGGGCCGTAAAGCCTCGCTATCAGACCCCACTCTTGAGGCAAGCTTCACGTTATGTGGAAAAGCTCTCCCTGCATGATCAGCACTCAGCTGTTCTGAGCCTTTGGGCTCCAGTATGGCGACGTGTACTACACGACATCCGCCCCGAAAGTCGGACAAATGAGAGAACTTGCTGAGTGGCTGCTCGCCAGAACACAGAAACAAGGCCGTGATAAAGCTACCCTGCTTCAGCTTGGTGGCGAGTAAGGACCATTAGCCTTCCCCCAGATTCGACCCTGCTAATCAACCCAGCCCAAAGCTCAAAGCCAGAGCTCAAGAGCAAACTTGTTGCCAAAGCACCGCTGACCACGACCACTTCCAAGAGACAGTCGATGATGCTGTCAGACATCCCTTTGGCATGTCGATTTACGCGCTGTCGAGTCCTCGGCGCGAGGACTCGGTGTCACACAAACAGCAGCGAACACATGAACTCACTAAGGCGACAAAGCTAATGTCACTAACCTCATGTGAGGCAAAAAAATGTTTTAGCCAGCTCCTACTTAATTAAGTGGGCACCCACTAAATTAAGCAAGGGAGTAGTAAGCTTCTGGTAAGTGGACCCAGGATAGCTCACGCGACTGATTTGGTTCCTATATAGATCGGGGAAACTTAATTCCCGCTGACATACTCTTGTGGTCCTTTGACTTCTGCAAGAAGCAGCTCCCTGTTTGCCTTTTGCAGCGAAGGAACTGTGCTACTTGCAATGGATACGTGGTACAGGTGGCACATGACTTGGCCACCGCACCCGCCAAGAAAGCTTCCAACGCTGTAGGTGCTGGCTGTTTGCAAACATTCCGCTTTAACAGGTCGTAGATCACAAACCTGCGAGAGGGAACTGAATGACTAAAGGCACCCCCAATCATGATGGAATTTCAATAAATTTAACTATACTATACAACTAGTGAAACCCATGATGCTGGTGGCTCCAAAAGATTCTATATACAGATTCCATAATAGTCATGGCAAACGTTCTACTGCTCTGAATATACAGTAATTGCAAAACGTATATAAACCCGTTTTAGGATACAATGGCGGGGAAAGTGTCGCTTGTGAATGGATAGAAGGCACAAAGTGGCACAAACAAAAGGTGTCAGACATCCATCTGTGCAAATATGTTGCTGGATCGCTGGATTTGCCACCTCAGAGGCCAATCTTGTTTGCTCAGTGCCACTGAAAAACGACGCCTTCGAGGTACAGCCTAATGGGATACGGATACGTCAATCAAAAAGATGTCTGTCAGAAGAGTCACCAAGAGTATTGAAGAAGATACTCCATTCCACAAAGCTCCAGTGCCCTCCTCAACAATGATGTAGGCAATCCTGAGCAGGGTGCATCGTGGCGCGTTGGGCATCCCGGCAGCGACTGAGATATGACCTCCTGATCCGGAGGTTTGGAACGAGATGCATGATCCGGAGTTCTGATCCGGAGGTCTGGAACGGCAGGTATGTTCCGGAGGTCTGGAATGAATTCAATCTTTGTACTTAGTATATACATGTACGTTTGATGCATTTGCACTCCGTGGCGAAAGCAAACCCTGCACGCGTGAGGAAAAGAGAAGGCTCCCCTTTACATCCGACATTGCACAATGATCCCTTCGTTCATACAAAAGCGTACACGCGCCCCCCCTTGCACTCTGTTTTTCACTGGCGCCATGGCCAACCCTAGGTCATCAGCTTCACAACGTGGGGAAGGGCTCAAAATGAGCTCGAGCAGGTCTGGAAGGGGTATGGAACGGTCTGGAACGAGGTCTGGAACGAAAACGCACATGTCTGACAGAGTTCTCCCAATCCACCAAACCCGCTCGACTCAGTCATATTTCGGCCTCGGAGAGGGGGTCCGGGGCGGAAAAGATCGCATCTGAAGCGTATGTCGACATAAATGGCCCAAAATACCCCCAGCATGGCTCCAAGCAAGACCGTGACACCCAGCGAGAGAGAGAGAGAGAGACGGCTCTCCCGACTACCGTCTTACTTTCTCCCTGTGTTGGGCCGGCGCCCCGCTGTCAGGCGTAAGCCTTCAAATTACCGCATCGAGTTATCTTAACGGTCCTAGCATCTTTTCAAAAATCCAGGAATGCCAAAAGGGAACCAATACAAAACCAAATCTAGTCTATATATATATAATGTAAATACTTAGTAATTAAGAATATATTTTTTAGACAAATACTAGGGCGTGATTAGGCCCAGGCTGCTAGTTACTAGGGCGCGACTCGGCTACTAAGCCTGCTTCAGACTGTGCCCTGGCCCATCAACTACTTCATCAAGACAATTATAAATAGATTAAGGTATAGAACATAGCTATGGAACAAGGATCTGGAACGCAAGTATGGAACAAGGTCTGAAACAAAGGTCTGGATCGTGGTCTGGAACGAAGGTCTGGATCGTGGTCTGGAACAAAAGGTCAGCCCGCCAATGATCCATACCAAAACATTTTGACTCATTGCCATATGCCCAAGGCACTCCTCCCACAGGCCTGCGCCGGTCGCCTTGCCAATTTTCAAGCGAGTTGTGGCCTGGAATCGATTGCTTTGGAACAATTTGTGAAACCAGCATTCACCAGCCACGGTCCGTGTTGTCTTGGCTCCCGGCTACCCAAAGAGGGTTGCTGAGCATAACCTTGCAAATGCAAGTGTTGCAATCACACTTTTGTTATGCAAGCACTCAGCGTGCCACCGGCATAAGTTCAGTGTCCCCGACAAAATTTCCAGTAAACAGGTTGATTGAAACCTCTTGACACGGCAAGGAAGCAAGAGCGAGGGGTAGTGCATCATAATCATAGTCATAGAAAGGAAGCATATATGTACAATAACCCAATTGATCACCCAACAGGCCCGTAGAATGTGCGGTGTCCATGATGGTTGTTTCATGATGCATGATGTCAAAAGGCTCTTTATATAGACGTGAGCACCGTGAGTGAAATTTGTTCACCCAGCAACTTTTTCCCAGAAGTGAAAGGAAAAACATGGGACTCTGTTGGGATTTGTGATGTATGGCGAGTCAACTTGACGAATGATTAGCTACAGTACCTGAGAAGGGAGGGGCGAAAGCCACCCCTCATAGGCACTCAGAGCAACAAATGCGGGTTAAGGGTGGTGCTTCGGCTCTCTACATGTAGAGTCGATCTGTGTCTTTCCATACCTGGACCTGCATCGACAATTCATCTCAAGCAGCGGCTCGCAAGATTCAATCACAATGTTGAAGCATACGTCTGCCTGATCGCCAGCCAGAACCCGCTCTTCGTGCCCTTTCTTTGCCCGAGGCGGCCCCAAACCAAAGCGCGAAGGGGCATCAACCAAGAAACTCCGGCTACCTGAATCTAGACCGACCGTCTTTCCACACTTGCATCGGCAGTTCATTTCAAACAGCAACCAAAACTCCTACGTTTCACGCATTGGCCGTGTTTGGCCCGCAAAACAAGATTAAATCTGCTCGTGCTCTCGCGCACTTTTCGGGCTAAAAACGGCTGGTATACTTCTCGTTTTGCGCGTGATCACTTGACCTGCACTCCTCCCCGACTCGTCTGCCTTTTTGACAGAGTCGGCTCTCAAAAGGTGCCTTGTGCTCAAGCCGTTTCACGGCAGATTTTGCACTGCCGAATCTCTAGCATTGCGCCTGTGACTGCGCCACACCTTGCATCGGTGTGATGGCTGCCAAGCTGATCTTCAAAAATGAAGTCAGCTGCTGCCAGGCTTCTTTGCCCTTGCACTGCTCTCTGGCATGCCCCACAAATTGGATGCCCTCGAACTCGATTGGCATTCCTCAGCCCTCTGCACTCTCGCCTTCGGTGAAAGCACTGGCTAGATTCCGCAAACCAGATCTGCCATGGAGGTTCAATGACAAACCTTCTCCCTTGCCCCGTCAGGGAGATGTGCATCCGCTGTTCCAAAGGTAGGTCAGCTCGATTTGGCGGCTCTTCTTGCGGCTCTTCTCGACCAAAGTGCTCTCTCCCTCGAACTCCTCACGCTCTGGATTTGCCCTGTTCGCCAAGCTCCATGCCACTGCCACCACTTGTAGTAGCTGATGAAGACGTAGATGTCTCCCGATTCCTTCCTCTCTCTGGGCGCTGAGGTCCCTCAGCTGCGCGCAACCTCTCGCCTCTCCCTTCTCGCAAACTTGTAGAAGGCCTCGTACTCGATGAAGTCCTTTCAACGGAGTCTGCAACTCTCATTCTGCGGATCGCCAGGTTTCCATCTGCTTCACCCCAATGCACCCGGCATCGCTGAAGGACTTTCATGAGCACCATTCCGAGGATCACCATGATCACTCCAAACATATAAAGCACTTCTGATCCATCACCCTCTTCTGACTCCTTCTCAGTGGCATTAGTCGTCGCCAATGCTCCATGAATCTGTTGGAATATTGTGATGATGGTTACCAGCTGGGTCACGTTCTTGAAGTCATTCTCCAACCAGAGACGACTGGCCACCGGAAGATCTTCTTCAGGTTTATCTTCCTGTTTATCCCCTCCAGCTGGTTGCCACCCCATCTACATCTTCCGCGTGAGGTTCTTCATCCGAGGAGGCGCTAAGACCTTGGTTCCGATGTCAGCGACCAAATCCTTCCCGGGCTCATACTGCAACTCCCATGACCCCGCCTGAGATGTGCTTCTCTCACCTTCAAGCGGCGTGTGGTGGCAGAGCTTCCCAAAGCAATGGCTGCCGAGTTGTCACACTTCAGGACCTTGTGCATAGCTCCGGCCATCTCCTCCACTAAGCAACTCACGCTGCCTCCAAGGATGACTGACTCAATGACTTCAATCAGCTCTGCGTCGGCAGTGGAGAGTGCTGGAAACGGCTGCCTCGACGACTTCCATGCTATTGGTGAGCCTCCCAGCAGGGTGATCACAGCACCGCACGGACTACAAGCTGCCCAGATGAACATGCTCAGAATGGAAGGGCTGAAGCAGCCATCAACTCCATCAAGCAGAGGGTACGAAGATTGTTGCGTGGAGCTGAGATGGAGGTGTGCTGGTGGCCGGTAGCTGCAAGGCGCGTGGTGGAACTGGAAAGACATCGCCGAAAGAAAATCACGGAACGACTGCCCCACTTTGGTCAGACCGTGGTGGTGAAGAAGAGATCCTGGGAACTACAACGACAAGGAGCATTTGAGTCGAGTGGAGAGGAGGTGAAGTACCTGACACCGGCTCTAGAGGTTTCAAAGGCCATGCCGTCCTCACCGACAAGGGGGTCATTAAGGTGGTGAGCTACACGATCAAGGACATCAAGGAGCCGGTGAAGGATAGTGAAGAGTTGGCACTAGTCGAGGTGGCAGTAGAAGAGGATCCACTGAGGTTGAGAAGAAGGATCAGGGAGAAGGCCAGTGTGGCCTGTTTAAAGACTCATGAGGAGGAAGAGGAAGAGAAGCGTTGAGTTAGCCTCTTTCGAACCCTCTATGATGAGGAACAACATCTCCTCGGGTCAGAGCCAAGAGAAGGACCAGCTTGGCAGCGAGGCTTGGCTCCGTTCCGAGCTGAGCAAGAAGCTGAAGCCACAAGGCCTTTGGAAGATGAAATCCTGCAGACGCGCATCATCCCCAATGAAGAGGTCTTCTTGAACAAAGCTGAGTGGATTGAGGCCATAGTCAAGGAGATCAAGTCAGTAGAGGAAAAGAAAGCGATCAGGCGATTGACTGGTCCTGCATAGAGGTGTAGTGTCACCCCTTCTTTTTCCCACCTCCGACGAATCCTCCTGTTGACATTGAGTCCACTAAGATCTCTTGCCAGGGTGTCCGCCAGCTTGTCTTTGATCCGCTGTGGCATGTCCTGGAACACTGGAAAGTCACGAACCACCTGATCAAGCCAGTTGGCATGGACTCCCTCATCAGCGAAAACATGACACCGCAACGCCATCCTTGACTTGGACTCCTCGAGCTCTTGGATTAAGGCTAATACTTCAGCATACGCCACCATTGGACAGCCTTCAACCAAATCCACATCGATGAGACCCCTCAACGGACGCAGTAGCCGACAATGGTCCCCTTCCCATTCCAGGTTGCAGCCAAGGTCCTTCATCAACCGTCCGACTGGCGCAATGGGTTCAACCCCTTCATCCACATGCACCAGCACCTGCCCTTCGGTCATTCGATATTAATTCGTCCTCCTCCTGCCAAAGACACTTGCACCTGTCTGCACCGCTGGAGGTCCTCTCCATGTCGCCTGGGACGTAGTGCATGAGCCGCCCCTGTGTCCGGGAGTCCGTTGCTCGAGCCACCGACACTGCCTTCATGGTGGGAGTCGAGGAGTCAGCCTGTGTGGATCTTTCACCTTGAATCGACATGCCTCTCAACATCCGCTGTGCCTCGTCCAACACATGTTTCAATGCGTCCTGACTGCTTCCCTCAGGTTGGTCTGACCCACAAGTTGACGGGGGTGGCCCTGGATTTGGAAGAACCGAAGATGCTGACTCTCAAAAAAACGCCGACGAAGAGGTTCCTCCGATGTCCTTCACCCTTTGGATCTTTGGCTTCGGAGCTGGTCGTCGCGCTTCACCCTTTCCACCTTCTCCACCTGGTTCGCCAGACTTGGTCACCTCCTTCCGGGCGCAGTCCTTTGCATAGTGGCTCGTAGCTCCGCAAACATAGCACCTCTTCTCGCCCGGTTCAGCTTGATGCACCCAACGACAAGCAGCTCCTCTTCGACATCCCGCATCGGTTCGGAAGTACTTGCAGATGCCAGGACTCTTGCCTTCTGGGCTTCCGTCCCCTTTCTTCTCGTCCACGTAGGCCGCCTTCACCTGCGGAGCTCCTCCTGGATTGCCAGCCCTTGGAACACCACTGGTCTTTGGCCTCAGTCGATGCATGAGTTGTTCAAGTTCAGCAAGTAAATGCTCAGCGTACGTCTTGACTGTCTCCTCTGTTGGAATCGTGTCCAGCTGCAGCGTATTCCTCACGAGAGAACACCTGAACTGCAGATCAGGCTGCTGGGCCAACACTCTCGGGCTCAATCTCGTGATGCCCTTTAGGAGGATCGTCGAATCAGGAAGATTCAGACCTATGTCTGAAGCACGTCGGAGCCAGCGCATCCACCTCCGCAACCCTGTGCATGCTTCCGCAGGTGAACTCATTTCTGCTGGCTCTTTAAGTTGTCTCAAGATGATGGAACGTTCATGAACGTTCATGCGTCCCACCTGGTTGGTATAAGACCATGAGCTTGCTGACCAGGCGCAGCGGCGACAGTGCACGGGTCTTTCACGCTCGTCGGCGCTGCTGCAAGCATCATGCTGATTGCACGCTTTTCCACGCGCACCCATCTAGGCTTCTGCAACTCCAGGGAAGGTTCGATGGTGCTGTTGGCTCGTTGAAGTGGTCGAAGATGAATGTAGTGGTTATACCACTTCCTCGCCTCACCCGTGGCCGGTTCAATCATGGTGAGCCAGTCTGCCAGGTCAATCGGCGCTGAATCCGATGGTTCCGGAAGGGTGGGTGGTGTCACTGTCCCAGGTTTCACCGACTCTGGACCGCTGTCTTTGTTCTCCTTTTCCACAAGATGGTTGACCAGCTTGGCCATCACTTCCATCATCTTCTCACCTTTGACTCCATCTTGACTTCCTGAGGCCTCAGGCTGGGCAGGCTGCGCCGTTGTAGATCTCCTGCGAGATTGGCCAACCCCCTTTCCAGTGCCCTGCCGAAGCTCCTTGTCATGGGTTGTTCTTCTCCAGGACCAGACGCTCTCGGCCCTAGCAGCCTAGCACTGACCTTGAACGCTCTCGTTGTCCACGTCCTCGTACTCCACGCTTGCCAGGCGCAGGAGCGCCCATGAGGGATTGAAGCTGCTCGAACTGCTGCATTGGCGTCAGCTCATAGAGGCGCTTCCTCCCCTTCTCCAGGTCGATCTCCTTCTCCTGTTCACCTGCTGTCATCTCAAGATGGCGCTTCACAGTGCCCCCACTCTCAGGCGTGCGAAACAACTGCTGCTCCAACCCTTGCTGAAGATCATGCACTTTGGCCTCAAGGCTAGCACGCTGAAACTTCATGGCATCCATCATCTCAGCTTGCTCTACTCGCAGTTGCTGGTTCTCTTGTCGCAGCAAGGCCAACATGGTCATCATCTCTTGCGGATTCGGTGGACCCGCTCCATAGTGATGCCCGCGCTGCCATCCACCTTGATGTGGATAGGGCATCCCAAGTCCTAGTTGATGCGGTCCTCCAAGAGGTAGTAGGTGACCTCGTCGATCGTTTTGAGGCATCACATACCCCGGTGGTCCTCCACGGCCATACCCTTTAGGCACGAGTGGATCCTGATGTCCCGGTCCAATTCCTTGTACTTGAACCGCAAGTTGATCTGGTAGTTGCGCTCGATCTTCATCGCTCTCCTCCAGCTCTTCCACTTCCGGGGCTTGTTGATCCGGTGAACGGCCTCTTCGAGGTTCCCTAGATTCCTGCCCATGGCCAGGGAGCGGAGAAGGAGTACCCGTCGTTGTACTCTGTTGAGGCGGCTGTGCATGATCTTGTAGTCCACCACCTGGACGCCACACGCTCTCTCGAGGGACCTTGGCATACAAGTGAGGCGCTTGACTCTGGAAGATCTCGAAGTTGTTCGGGAGAGAACAGGGGTGTCGTTGGACCTAGGCTCGTCGGCCTTCCCACTGGACCTTGGAACTCTCCTTGCTCACCATCCTCTAGAGCCAGCTGCTCATTTTCTTCTTCTTCTCCATCAGCAAGCGCCGCGCCCTCAGCAGCAGGTTCAGCAGCATCTCCCTCATCTTCTCCTTGGGGCTGCCGCCTCCTGCGCCTCATGGCCATGGCTGCACCTTCGCGGGGCTGCCCCACCTTGACCTGTGAGGTCTTACACCTGCGTTGGGCTCATAACCTGCTCGTGCTCTCGCGCACTTTTCGGGCTAAAAACAGCTGGTATACTTTTTTTGTGCGCGATCACTTGACCTGCAAAATCAATGTGCTGGAAGATGCCTCTTCCATGTCCTGCTGTGTCATGGGTGTGGTCGCTAGAGCCCACTTTTTCAGAGGTGATTTTTCTGCCCGGAAACGGCCAGAGAATTTGGCGCTACCTCAAGATGGCCTTCAAACACACCGCCAAAGGGCACCAACCCAGAAATGCGTCTTCGTGGTACACAAGTCACTGTTGCCGTACCAGGGTGCTTCTCAAGCAGAATGAAAGCAGCATGAAAGGAGAAAAACAGCAGAATGAAAGCAAAGGAAAGCAGGTGAAAGCAGAATGAAAGCGAAACAGAGCCCCCCTTCCTTTCTCAATAGTGACCGTGTTGACGATCATGGAAGTAGCCCCGAACAACTGGCCGACGCATCCTTGCAGCCAAACAAACATGTTCACACTTGATGACTTCACCACCTTCAGTATGCTTTTGGTAGGTTGGGTGAGTTGAGTAGTTTTTGTGAGCCTGATTTGAGAGGACACACAAAACAACAAATGATCACTGCACTGTTTTCACAAGGATATATATCTTGAAGCGTGCTTTGGGAGGAAGTTGCTTGATATGACGCAACAGGCTGGAAAATGTTTGGCCTTGTTGTTTCATCATGGTTTGGTGGGGTTACTTTTGCGCAGCTGGTGGTCTTTGAAGTCGCGGGTGGCGACTCTCTTCAACACAGAACCACTGCTCAGGTCTTTACCGCGTTGAGGCCCCCACCCCCCAAAAAAAAACTAGAAACCGTACGATGGTGCCTTTCATTCTTCCGGTAACATCTGGGAAATAATTTCGGGAAATACCGGTCGAAAAGGGCACCCTTCGTTCTCGCACCCTTTCTTACATCGTGCTCTACGCATAACTTCTCGGCTGCAAGCACAAAACGCGCCGGCTTGCGGAAGGCCGTCCATCCGGCCCTTTTGTCTTTGCAGCCGGGCAAACATAATCTTCCAACGTGTTTGCTGGTGCCCCTTTGTCGTCCCCCAAAACTTTGACAAAACGATTCGACAGGGCACCGCCACACATGGCCTTTTCCTTGCGTCCGTTGGTCGCGATGCGTTTCCGCCCACCCTCTCTTGGAAGGCTTAGATGGTGTTCTACACGTTCACTGGTGCCTGTACGACACACGCCTGCTTGTCTTTACGACTGGGCAGCACAGCAAGCGGTCCGTCGCTGATACCACACATTGCCTTCTTCGTTGAAGTCTTTGTGGCGGCTTGCAAGCTGCTATCTTTACAGCTGACCGCTTCCATACACACAACTGGACGCTGTCCACTTGACTGGTATCATGGCCACGTTGCAATGCACAAAAGCTACAATATTGTACATCCCCCCACCAGGCTCTGCCAACCGCCAGCGCCCTCCACGCGACCACCCCTCCAACACCCTCTATACTCACTGCGTTCGCCCATCTAGCTCTTCAGCCTAGCCTATTGGCTGTTTCTCGTTCAATAGCAATGAATACATGTGTTTTTCCGATATGTCTGTGAGTCTATCATGGATAATTATGTCCACTTATGGTTCTTTTGAAAATTGAAATCTTGGTAGCAATCTGTTTCCACGGAATGGAATTTTGTACTTAGTCCTGAGAAGCCAACCAAGAGAAGGCTTCTTACGCACGTCAGAGAACTACGTTTATGTCCAAGCAGCACCCAGCATGCCAGCAAGACTAGCTGCCAGGAGATCTGCAAGGCTTTGTGGCAACTGCGGTCTACGGAAGCGAGTCTTCAGGGAAGTGTAGACACCTTACAAAGTCACAAGGCACAAATTGTCTTCAGTCATAGCTGTTATCAAACATGCAGCCACAAAAAGAAACAGAACCTTGGACCCTGAGCAATGTGCTCTTTGCATGCCTCCTGCATTAGATCCAACCATCTGTGATTATTGCTTCGCGGCGGGGAAATATATATATATATATTCCGTATTGTTGTATTTTTCTTGTGCTTCGTCCTTGACATTGGCACAAAAAGGACTGGGACCGGTCATTTGAACTGATTTCAATTGGAGCGTTCAAGTGGTTCATTCGTTCTTGGCAGGTTTGTTGCTTGTACTACTATTGTTGTTTTATTCGCCCTCACTCTGATTCTGCTCTTTTCCTGCTGTGGCAATCGATTTATCGTTGTTTCTACTCAACAAGACCTTGTGGGTCTCAATTGGCTTTCTATTGCTCCAGTAGCATTTTCTTTGATCGAGTCTTTCTGCCCTCCCAAATGTGCTGTAAACATTGTTGACACCAAAGAAGGGAAATCTTGCCCTCTCCTCGTCTTTCAACAGGCCCCTCTTGTGCTCCAGTATGCAGCATAGTTTTGGGCATCTTGCTGTACTATTATTGCCGTTCTCGAGCATGAATTACTGAAGATCGACAATTGAGAGTCAAACAAACAGACACATCAATCAAGGATGAAAAGGGCAGTACATACACCTTTTAGTCCTGTATGACATATACATATACATATATATATATATAGTAGACATGTTATGCAAAAGGATTGCCCCGGCACTTGGCCAGCTATCAGCCGTGGCACCAAAATACACGAAATAGGAAAAGCCGGTCGCCTGCAGTTGACTGCCCAGTCCTCCTTAGATATATAAATGTCCGGCGAAATCATGGACTTCGCGATGGCCTTCCTACCTTTCGTTGAGGCTCGAAATAAGTCTTCCATAAAGAGGGAGAAGAGGCTGGCATGTTCACCGCTTGCTTGTGAGATGACACCTGCTTGATCCAGTGGATACCTGAGTACCCGCTTGCAGCGCCGAGCAGTCCCGACTAAACACAATTTCCTCTGAACTTGCCACTCTGCCCAGGTGCAGCAAAACGACTGATGCCATGCTGGCAAGCAGCCCTGCTAACCCACTAAGCGTGGGCGATGTCATGTCAACAATGGCGACAAGATGAGCAAAGGATACGCAAAGGAAAGCAGATCAAATACTCAATGCTTGGGGTAGAGTAGGTGTTCCTGTCTCGCATGGGCACACTTGCAACGTTCTTTTCTACGTAGCTTGGTGGCTTGCCTCGTGCCCCTTGAGAAAATCAGGCTTCGGCACAAGGTGCACCCTTAAGAAACATTAACTAATCGAAGCAACCAAACAACAACTTCCTGCAAGGTGTGCGGTGTGCTAAACCAAAGTGCTAAATACCAAGCAGCAAGAAGAACTACCCCAATGGTGACCGCTAACCTTTGTTCTAGCCTGGGAGGGAAAGACCGGCGGTCGTGTGCGTGGAACCCAGCGTCTCAGTCTCGAAGTTGCCAACTTCCTTCCCCAGCTCCTTCCCCAGTACACTTCCATTGCCCATGATGACGTTGATGTTCCCCAAGAAATAGCATTCACGTTTTGTCGTTCGCCAGCAAGTTTCTTCTTAGTGCTGGGTCTGAGGACCAGCTCTAAACAGCTGCACACTTGGAGTCTCTTTTGAGCATCAGCAGCGAACGGCTTCCCTTCTTCGCATTGGCTGCCCGCAACTGCGATAGAGGCTGGCAAACCAGGAATCGGGCTCCTGCCCACCAAGAGAAGCTTTACAGTTTTGAGTTTCTGGGTGGGACGAAGGGCAACATGTTGACATGTCCCTTCAAGGGCTACACATATCTGCATAAAAAGTCAATAAGTCTTCCAATTGAATCCAATCGAACTCCAAATCAGCGTTTAACAAGAGAATTATATATCCAGCTTGAAGACTGCAGCGACTCCAACATGGGCACCTCAGCCAAAAAGCCCCACTCGAAGAGAGCCATGGGCGTGCCATGGCCAGCTGAGTCCATAAGTCGAGACTGAAAACTCTCCTCGCGGGCGAAGTCTGGGCAATAAACCTTCCCTCAAAGGGCCCAAAGGGAGAGATGCACAAAAACAAAGACGAATGCACAGTTGCCACTTCAACAAGCGCAAGCATCTGAGCAGGTGCTATCCTGGTAGATGTCGTCGTCAAAAGACCCCAAGATCTCTTCAAACCTGCAGCATCCCGCTCCGAATCTTCCAGTAGATGTTCCATTCAACTAGCAAGCATGAATCTCCAGCAGGTTTGTTGCCAAGATGCTCCACGTCGCCATACTTCTCCAGAAGACCTCCAACCTGGGCTGAACCGAGCAGCCGGTACAGCTGACCCATAGCACAAACATGCTAACAGCTAAGCCACCAAAAGCACACCCAACCTGATCCGTCTTTAGTTTAATTCATGACAAGTTGCAGAGTTTGACACCTTCTCCAGCACAACAGACCGGTCCACCATCCTTAGTGAAAGCTTGGGCGGGCAACAGCCCACCAACACATGAAGTGGCAAGCAGCCTTCACCTTACCTCCCTCTCGTGCCGCTGCACACTGGATTCAGCTCAACACAGCGGAGATATTCAGACCAAGCCTCCCATCATCACTGCCGTAGGCCTGGATGCGGTTTCACATCTCTGCTCACGCATGTCCGCATCCCCAGCCCAAGCTTATTCAACGTGCAGCCTGCCTCGAAAAAGAGCTGCTGTAAGGCAGACCACATATCATCAACCCTGCAACCACTCTAAGACGAGGCACATCTTTTGTTAAACAGTTTCCTTGCATTCGTGAACTCCCGGCATACGAATTCCTGTTCCTGCAAAGAAGCACCCTGACTTCACATTCACATTGACTTTATCCGTCCTTTGCTTCATGAATCCATCTGGAAGCAGGTCGGCCATGAGTGCTGCTGCTGCCATCGCACTGAAGTCCACTGTGCCTTGGCCGGGGAATTGCAATCGAGCCGGGGGACACTGTTTGCTTTGCTTTCTCCCCGTTCAAGTCAAAGTGTGAAACATTCTAACCACAATCCGAGAAGGACACCGGAGATGGACAAGAAAATTACCTATATAACTATTCTGCTTTGCAATAAGTTCCAGGCATGTTGCTCGGCTGAAAAGGTCTTCACAAAAGCGTTCATCGTCTCATCCCATTTAGCCGAAAGTACACTTCATACAAATCAGTTGAAAGAAAAGTCTACGGAAAGAGTGACACCTCAAAGTGCAAAAGAACAGGATATCGACCTGCATGGGGATTAAGATTAAGATAAGCTCCACTGCACAAATCAAAGTCACAAAATGCCCCACAACTTAGCTTCTAGCTACTAGTAGTAATGATAATGGTCTCTACCCTAGCAGTAATGGCCTCCACCCTAGTAGCGATGGCCTCCAACCTAACAAAGTTTTTTCCAAGTTGCCGCAGCCCCGCACATCACAGACACCCACCGCAACCTCGCTGCCTCGCTTGGTCGCTCCCCGGCGAGCAAGCAGCAGTTGCATGGCCAAGCGCGATGCGAGAAGAGCGTCACCATCCTGCACAGCTGGGTAGCTGGTCATGGTGGTTCAAGCTGAGAAGCTCACATAGAAGAAATGGCTCAAATGACCCCACTTGCCGACAGCCCTACATGCCAAAACTCGCAAGCCTGATCCATTCGTTGGAAGTCCTTAAGCAACCTTTCCTTGGCACTTGGGCGCTACGCTCAACTCTGCCATTTCACAAGCGCGCAATTGCCAACACCACTCCAATAGACTCCTAGTAGCGTCCTTGTTCCTAGTAGCGATGCCAGGAGCCCCTAGTAGTGTCCTTGCTCCAAGTAGCGATGCCAATAGGCTCTAGCTCACATCGTTGACAAGTTTGAATCTCGCACGGTTCCTTTTCGCAGCAGCGAATCGACTCAAGGGCCCCATTTAGCCGAGACAGCAGCGGCGGTGCATCAACTGTACGCAATACACCCTGGCTACAATCGGTAAAATTCACACCCGTCTTATCTACAGGTGTGTTGCGGGCTTTACAGTTCAAATTCGTACAAAGGCAGCCAAGCAAACTCGATTCCCCGTGGGGCCGTAAACCACGCCTTTCCATGTCGAATTCTCAAAAACAAGTCATGGTGAGACTTCCTCATCTTCCATCTTGGCTCCCTTTTCGCATGCGCCACTGTTCTCGACATTGACAAGTCCACTTTCCAGTGTCTTGAGGAGGTAGTCTGGCCTCATGCTCTTGGTCAACGGGTCTGCCAATTGCTTTGATGTCTCAATCCACCTCAGGTGGTCACCATAGGGACTGTAGATCTCCGATGTTCTCTCGCCACTCACAGTCCACACTCCCTGCCTCAATGCAGCAAGTTCTATGCCAAGCCTTTTGTCCTGTACTTTTCTCGGAACTTCTGCCAGTAAATGGTCCGATAAGCTCCTGCAATCGGTGTAATACACATGCGCCATTCGTCTCTGAGTTTCCTCGTGCCAGTTCTTGAAGTCATCAAGTCGTCCGGTCAACTCACAGATCAGGCATCGTAGACGATCTCCATGTTCGACTGCAGTTTGCAGAGCATATGCTTCTGCTTGCAATGTAGCACGACACACCCTTTTGAGGGTAGTTGAACCAAAGCTGATCAGATGCATTTTGTGACTGCCTTCCTTGAGGCTGCTCGCATTCGTTATGTAGTGAATGCGACCTTGCTGACTCTTAAAGCCGTCTTCGTTTGCGAAACTTGCGTCGCTAAACGTCACAACTGCCAAATCGCTCCAGTCAATCCAATCACTCTTGAAGGTGATCTGCAAGTCACTTCCTTGAAGTGCCAATTCAACAACCTTGTTGGCGTTCTTCAAGTCTTGCACTGTTGCCTTTGCGCTGCATGCGCGTTGCATCTCATTCACACGGTAACAAAGGTCTGGTCTTCCATAACGTGCGACCCCAGCCAAGCTACCAACAACGCTCCTGAGACTTGTCAGCTCTTTCTCTGTCACCCTTTCCGACAGCTTCCGATGCTTGTCGATTTCGATCGGCTTCACGGTCTTGCAGTTTTCACTTGTTGAAATGCTCACGGAGTAGTCTTCATGCTGTACGAACTGCCGTCCGCAGTATCGGAATCTGCCTGACTCGGTTTTGCCAATCGTGAATCTTTTGAGGATGCCTTCAATTGTCTTCTTGCCTTCATCAAGGTAGCAATATAACAAATCGTCGACATGTGTCGCGATCATGCCAATCAACTTTCCCTTGGAATTGTGCAAATAGTATAATGCAGGTGTGATGCGACTGCATTTCAATCCGGCACTGGTGATCTCACTATTCATCCTCAAGTAAAAGCCTCTGCCTGCATCGATCGTGCCATAGATCGGAAGGCGTGCAACCAACATTGCATCCGGTGGAACATCCGGACTTGGAATTCCACCACGTGGCTGTTTGAGCAACAGCAACCTCGTCATTGGCTGACTCTGGAAGTACGCTGAGGAAACATCTGCCGCGTACAGGGTCACGCGATGGCTTGCAGCGAAGCTCGCAATCAACATGTGCCCTTCGGTTTCAGCTGTGGGGCTGTCGCAGCGGATGCCCTGTGCGTCACGGCTCACTTGTTCGTGGTCGCCACAAGCAACTAAACGAGATCTGTTTTCAGGCTGATGTTCAGGCGTACCTGTCAGATGAGCCTGCTTATCCACATCTACCCATTGCATGGGGATGGGAACATGCCCTTCTTGAAGCAACTCTTCCAGTTCTTTGCCTCGAATGGGCATTGCAGCGTTGAAGCTCCTATATTTGCTCCACTCTGCACGACGTGCGTCCAAGATGCGGGCCTGCATCTCAGGGGTGCAGCGGTCGTACTGTAGCGTCCGTGCCACTTTGCCAACATGCGTCTCACTGTTTTCTCCAAAGCGCTGAGCTACGAAGGCTTGAAACTCTGCGGTAAGTCCAATGTCGTCGACAGCGGCCATGGCGATCAACGGGTGTCTTACCCGTGTAAAGATAGTGAAACCAGTCCACGCGCGAGAGTCAACATTGTCCATGCCCGGCATGGACTCGCTGGTCGCTCGACTGCCGTCTTCGTAGACTTTTCTGGTCACGCGTCTTCCTCCGAATCCTTCCGGAACATCTCCGTCATACAGCGGATGGAAGTCATGGAATCTCCTCTTGCACGAATTGCATGACTCTCAGAGATTCTCCAATGGTCTTCATTGTCAACCAATGCAAACATGACCTCATCGTCACCGACAATGCCTCCGGGGGTCATCGGAACTGCGACTGCGCTTCCGCTTGCGCTTGCAGATGATCGGGCAGCCTTGCCCGTCTTATCTTCTGCTTGTGCTTCTCTCTTGTGTCCCTTCTTAGGGCTCGCCTCTTCGTCCATCATTCGGATATACTTCTGTTGTCCCAATGTCACTGCTTCTGGGAAAACCGGGATGTTGTTCAAAATGGAGTAGGCCAAAGATTCACTCTCATTGGCTGATCTGAGTTTTCCAGCGGCACACAAAACAGGAACACCTTCATGTAGCAACCAGATGCCATTGTGCGGGTCAATGCCAATCACACGCGAAGCAGTGGACCACACGGTTCCACCTTGCTGGGTGTCACGACGGTAGACCACGAGGTCCCCAACCACAAATGACTTCTTGTTCTGGACTGCTGCATTCCTGGTCAATGCTCTTGCAACACGGGAACTTGTATCCAATTGAATAAATGCCTTTTGTGCAGCCATACGAGATGCATGACACAAATGATAGCTTGCTGCAGGGTCAAGCTTGTTCTCCAAGATGCCCAAGTTTCCTGCTTCATGCATGTCTGTGACAGATCCTGGAACTCTTGGGTTCCTTCCCAGGACCCATTGTGCTGGTGAATAGCCTTGGACTCTCTCCATGCGATTCTTCACGGAAGTACATTCATGCAAGCATGTTTCAAATGCATTACGGCCAACGGCTTCCATGTCATGGATGGTCTTCCTGAGGATTGCCTTCAAGATACCTTGGTGCCTTTCAACCTTGCCAATGGCTGATGGTGTTTCCGATGGTGCATAGAAGATCTCGACACCGTGCGAAGCGAATAGCTTGGACACCTCACCTCGGTTGTGGACACCTCTATCCATGATTGCAGCCTTTGGGAAACCTGCCCAACTGATCCATCTACGAAGAATGGCTTGCGCACAGGAGCATACGCTGAAAAAGAACCAGAACCTTCGCTTGGCAACCCCCCTAACCAAGAATTTAATACGCCAATATGTTTGTTAGTCATTAGCTCCTGCAACCTTGGTACAGGATTCCATAAAACACGTTGGCGCGGGATTCCATAAATTTTTGGCTGCCAACGTTGGCACATAGAAAAATAAGGGAATGACCTCAGGTCGAAAGGATTTTATTAAATAAAGTCCTTCGTCAAAGCTTTAGCGCACTTCGGAACCCATATAATGAAGGACTATGCAGGAAACAAGTACAGCATTCTCACGATGCTGGACATTTCGACAGGATTCCATTTGTCAGAGGTTGTCAAAGAAGGTGGAGGTATGCCGACGTCAGGTCTTGCTGGGGCAGAGTGCTGACATGATTCTTCAGAATCGGGCCATGCTTAAGTCTATTTTAAATTTTGGTTTGTTTGTCCTTCATGCGCGTGCATTGCTTGTTTGCGACCATAAGATCAAAACTAAAGGTCAAAAGCCAACCAGTTGTTATGCCAGGCCCACTCCCGAAGCACTCAACCACCTACGGCTGCCACTCTTAGCTGGGACGCGTGAAATCTCAACAGGTAGAGTGCAGGCATGATTCCTCAGAATCTGGCCGCGTTTGAAGCTATGTTTGTATTCTTGCTTGTTTGCAAAACTAAGAGCAAAACCCAAGGTCGAAAGCTAGTGAATCGAAACCAAAGTCTTGAGGGCGAATGTGATAGGTGGGGTTTCGTCACCTTTGTTGAGAACCAAGCGTACAAGTGCCCTTGCCATGCGGTTTGCATGTGCGATTCCTCCGAGGACCAACGTTGCATTTGTCGACTGTCAGCGAACGGTGCCACTGTTTTCATCTATTCTCCGTTCTTTCGTGAAACTGGCGCCCTAGAAGCGCGAGAATCTTTTGCTCGTCAACCGTCGCCCTTGAGGATCTGAGAGGTTTGTCGGCGCGGTCAAACCTGTCACGTTTGGAGTTCTTGAAGTATGTATCCCCAGAACCTACAGCTACAGCAGTGGCCCTCGTTCAAAACATAGCAGAACAAATGAAAATGAAATCCTGGCCTTGACCTAACTCTATAAAGCAAAAAACAGCAAACAAACAGTTATAAAATCCTGTCATTAACATGTTCATGAGGGTCAAAAGTCCCTATGATGTTTTTTTCAACGCGTCTTATTTTTCCTGCACCAACATCTTGCACCAACATCCTGCGCCAACATTTGTTGCCACTTCACATGACACCATCAACCCAATGTTCACACTTCCACACCTGAGACGCGCCTCGTACTTTTCGAGTCGGGAGAGCCGTGAACCCTTCAAGGTCAGACATGGCCACATGCAATGAAACAGCTTCATTGCAACAACTTGATCTTCAGTTCACTCCGAACTTCAAAGAAGACAACATGTCAGGCTAATCCCATCTCGTGCAAACATGTGCTCTTCTTTCGCTGTTACAGCCACTTCGGGTATAATCTTACGAAACCTGCTTGCAAAAGCTGTACAAACTCAAATCTGGATGGTCGGTCTGCTATGTTGGAGG